CGTCAAAAGTAGATGTCATTGTCGTGTTTTGCGGCAATTTGGAGGCGCCAACATAAATTGCAAAAATTTGTCATCACGGAGGATCGAACTTTGGACCATTTCTTCCCCGCTGTTTTGACATTCCTGGGCGTTCAGGAAAAATGGACCATGGTTCTGTGTTCCTCACATGAGCCTCTACAACATTCAGAAAACCATTTTGAAAAAACGCTCCATGTCCTGAAAGACCTCCCCTTGTTAGGTCACAGAGCGATATCATTACTACGGTGAGAAAGTCATAAGGTGAAAAATTACAGGTTCGCATTCGCTTTGTCGCATATTTCTCAAACGGGCAGTGTCTACATTACCGTTTCTGTCACCATAGAACGATATCTAGCCGTTTGTCATCCGAGGCGCAGCAAGCAAATGTGTAACTCTGGTGAGGTTTTTTTTCTTTTTCGAAAAGGCTCGTCATTTCTGTGACAGGCACATCAGCAACTATAGAAATACATTGACTTCTAATCGCCGTTTCCTCCACAGAAACTCGGCATCGTTGTTAAGCTTAGTGTTGTGCTTCTGTCAACGAGGTTTTTAGGTGAATAATTTATTTACGGCCTGTCGTTTTGACTCGATTTGTTCCTCAAAAGCCAGTCTGCCACTGCGAGAGCGGTTACTACTACTAGTAGAATTTACTAACCATTCCTAACTAGAATGGCGTTGTTGCGCCTCATGGTGGCGGACTGGCTTTGAGGTAGACGATAGCGTCGAAACGAGGGTTCGTATGTAAAGCTGTCACGTAAAAACCCTGTTCGTCAGAGAAAAGACACTTAACATAGATTTGTGTTCTCGAACGGACTGGGAGGAAAGATTATCAATGGTAACGGAAAGTCGAAAAGGCCAAAAGCATCCCAGAAAAATCAGTGTAGTTCTAGAGAGGCCGGCGCGATGTCGCAAGCGGAATTGTGCGGTTGAAGTTCATTATTGAAGCGGAAGCAGTATTGAGAGTATTGAATGCACTGAAAATCGGCACCAACTCTGTAAAAGCGGTGAAAAACATCACCAAGAGTTGCGGAAATTGAAAAAAGAAAAGGGCGATGGGAATTTCTGATTTTTTTTAACAATGACGATTAATGGATGGTGATTTTTTTGACTCTCGCCCTGAATCGACGGTATATTGCCCCAAATTGATTGTGTTGACGCCAAATTGTTGCTGATGTATGCCTAGAAAAGCAAACCAGCCCATGCATCACTTTGGGTTGCTGTACGGTGAGCCCTTACCTGACACTCCTATAAACCGGCAGCAAAAGAACAGCCTGAGGTTTCGAAACGTTAGATGGTGAACAACATTGCAATAACGATTACTCATCATTTTATTGGGTTGATCCATAATTCCTGGCCGAATTTTTTCAGAATCAATTTTCTTCATGTCAAATTAGTGTCATTACGAAATAAGTTAGTATGTTGAAGGAGGCATCAGTACCTTAAACTAGGATGTTCCAGAAGGTCAAAGGGCAGTGGAATAAGTAAGTAGGGATCGAAATGGATCAACGACCAAAGCAGGCGATTATGCTTAACGATCATTTAAAGAAGAACCTTGCAAGGAGTGCAGTAGGCAAGACCAGCGCTGTGTTTGCCTCAGTCTTTGCTACTGATCGGGCACTGGGCTATTGGCTTGAAAGCATCGGCAAAGGCGATACAAGCTGCAAAGTTTGACCTCATCCTAAGCCCCCAGTCACTTTCGATGAGGATCCATTGCGCTGTGAATCGGAAGTTCACCCGGACGCTACCACCTGAGATTTGTAGCAGATACCTGGGCACAGCCGATGCACCACCGCAAGCTGTCTGAATGAAACGGGCTGTAGCAGAATGAAGTTTCGATGGGAACGGCATGCATCTCTGACCATGACCGAGAAGCAGACCTGACCATCTGCAGAAATTTTCATTCTGCGCAGGCATAGCCTGGACTTTCCCTAGTCGGTCACCAGTGGAGGTGAGTCATGAGTCCACTACGACAACAACACGCGGCACGCCTTATGGCTATCTCGCAGCCTGAACCCACCATCTCACCCAAAACCTGACCTCTCTCGTCAGAGAATATTACCCCAATTTGTAGGATTGGTCGGGTATCCACTTTGAGAACTGCTTCATCTTATATAGACAACCACTGCGAAGATAACCATGGAATAACTCCGAGGTTGGCCAGCAGCAGTGCGAGAGAAACATTCAAAACGTCTCAAATCTCCTTCCTCCGGATGAACGCCCGACCTTACATGTGCGAAGATAACTCGTCACCTTTGAAGGAAACTGGTAGGATCGCGATACCACCTCTATCGTATAGCCTAACATTACTTCATCGCACTATCCCCTTCTCGATGCCCTGCAGCAGAAACTCGAGATTAAAGGAGTATCTGAAATACATACCCAAAAAACGACATCTCAAACTCTTTTGAGAGCTCACTCGTTTGAGGGAGCATCCATTTCGCAGTCTGAGCAAGTTGAGTGCCATATCAGCGATTGCGAGGGGTTGGTTTTATTGTTGACAGAGTTAGTCCCCGTCAACCGCCGGGACCTTCCTTTCCTGCGCAAGCTTTCTATCCTCCGCTATGGTCCCTTCCTCCTGTGACACCAACACCTCGTGCAAGTGAATGGTGTTTCAAACAGTAGAAGGGACACAATCATGATATGACGGTAGATTTTTCGCTTCCCTTCCTCATCCTCCCTTCCTCTCTCCACTGCCCTCCAGCTGCCACTGCAGCACCATGTGGAATGAACGGAAGTGTGCTAAGCAGGTGTTTATATAGCCCTGAGAGTGTTATCACAACTATCCTGCTAAAACATTGATATCTCAAATCCTGTAAGCTACCCGATTTGTTAGCGGTTTGTTTATCCCATGAGCTTCCTTCTCACTCACTTCATTTTGCGGACGGACACACATACACACACACATACAGATACACAAACCGACACACAAAGTTAGCGCTTTATATATATATAGATAGGTTAGTGCTCTCAGGAATGAATAAATCAATGGGAAATGAAAGCCGGGCGAAAATTTGGCCGAAATATGGTATGGTGACGAGCCCAATATTTTTTGTTTATGCTTAGTGATTTCTAATTACTATATGTTGATCATAAGAATGTTTTCGTTGTTTAAGTGAGGAATGCGATGACATTCTAGGCGTCGACACGTTTAGCAGTAATGTTCAACGCCACAAGTTCTGTCGAGTTAGTGAGGCTAGTTTCCGTGCGTTTTCGGCTTTACACTTATTATTTTCACGTAATCACTTCATTATATACACCAGAACTTTGGTGTGTCGGTTTGCCGTTGTGTGTGTGTCGTTCCATGTTGTGTCGTCCGGAAACGAAGCGGCTCACTAAACGAGGGGCAGCACTTCGAATTATGATGCCGATGATCATGATACACCACAGCGGCTTAGAAAAACTATCGAGCACTTGCTACAGTCTCATTCTACAATTGGTGCTGAGTGACGTAGCCGGACGAGCGGGAGGGGTAGAGGGAAGGAGGAAAGAGGGAGGGGGAAGGAAAGGGAGAGAGAAAGAGGGAGGGAAGGGGGAGAGGAGAAAGGGAGGGAGAACATGGCGCTGTCATGCGCCGGAGAGAAGGGTATAAGGAGGGGAGGTGGGGGAGGAGAGACTGAGAGAGAACGACCGTTTTTAAGAGTAAGTCTATACTTATTCATGTTGACGTATTATTCTAACCTGATGTGGTGATTGTGATAACACCCACAATGGCTACAAAAACACCGAACGAGCACACTCAGCCTCATTCTACATGGTGCTGCTGGGGCAGCCGGGAGTCTACGGGCGGGAGAGGGGGGGGGGGGGGGGCGGTAGAGGGGAGGCGTGAAAGCAGAAGGGAGGGAGGGGAGAGAGAGGGAGGGAAGTGGGGGAGAGGAGAAAGGGAGGGAGAACATGGTGCTGCCATGCGCCGGAGAGAAGGGATATAAGGAGGTATAACACATTCAATAGTGAGGTGGTTAATGGAGTACGTCATGCTGCTGCTATTCCGTGGTTCCTCCCTACCTGTGATGCGCGCGATAGCGGGCGGAGCAAACCTGGTTTTAATAAGTTCAGACCCCTAGTAATTAGATGACAGAAATTGCACAACTTTCGACCGGATTGCTAAAGAATTACAATAGTTTATGTGAGGCTGATGTCCGCTCAGTGCAGTCTCAAAGAGCCCATGGGCACACCTCAGAGAGCTATGTACCAGGGCGGTCAGGATAACGTGCACTACTCGAGCAGCTCGCTCCTCGATCAACTACAGTAGGGTAGGAAAATCTCGACGAACGTTCATGGCTGCTAGGAGTGAGCGATGAAGCACCGAGGTAACGCTGAGGTCAGGATATTCTGTGCTGGTAGGGTAGAGAGAAAGCGCCTTTTAAAAGGTTTGGTATCAAGGCCTGTGACGCAAAATGATAAGAATGTTGGTGGCAGGTGACGGTTCCCACACTGACCGTGCGCGCGTGCTATTTTCGCACCACTTGACGCTTTCTCTAACTACAAGAGTGAGAGCAGTGAATAGTCCGAATATTGCTTGTATCTCCTAAAACATCAATCCCATCCAAATGTGCGCTACCCACCTTTTCCACGTACCATCCCTCTTCCCATCATAAACGGTCGGTTGCGTTTACTCTCCCCATGATGGGAGTTCTGTAGCTGTATCACACCTTACGATCAGTTCTGCCCTTTGCTGCTGAACCCAACGCGGATCTATGTAAGAACATACTGCTCTACGCGCCTCCCCTTGTTCACTCTGAGTTTTTCTGAAGTCTTCATACGTGATTTCTGCGACTTTCTGCAGTCATTTTGCTCTCAAACTGTTGCTTTCAGGTCACTATCAATCCTGTCTGCCCGGACGGTAAAAACTGGCAAAGCTATATTTTGCTACCTTCTGTAATGGCAGCAAATCCTCTATATCAACAGGTATATCTGCTTCTTCTTGACTCCCGATGTTCTGCCCTAAGCTGTCCTCGGCGAAATGTTGAAGGATTTCATGCAAAAATTAAAAAAAAAAACTCATGAACTAATTACTTTTGGTATTCTAACTGAAGTTTGTATTCTCCGCAAGGGTTTAGATGTGATTATTAGGCCGGCATTGCTTCTTAATTTCACACGCAACACCTTTGACCAAGTTGAAGGTCTCATTTTCAGGTGTATGCCTTGTGGCTTACCAACATCGTAATGGTCTTTCTGCCATTTCTCACACTGCTCATCTTAAATGCCTATATCGCCTATACTATCCGGAAAAGTTTAGAGAAATTCGATAACCATCAGCAAAAGTGAGTTTTTGTTTGCATTTGATGGATCTTTGATATATGAGACTGTTGATATTTAGAGAAAAATATTTCAATCGAGTTCAAGACACATGAGTTTATTATCCTATAAGGTTGGTCACGCGAAATTACGCTGCGAGATGGCAGACCCTCGAGCGATTGGACTGGTACATACCTTAGGATAGCAAGCGAAACTTCATATTATCGCCATTTTAGACTGCGTTTTGCCATTCCCAAGCGGTACATTTCCAGTTTCGCTCAGCTCTGTAGAGAAGACCGTTCTGCGACTAACATCACTAAAACACGCAGAAAGGGTTTCCGTCAGTAAACACCCCTAGTGGTGCTTCCAGTGCCGATGAGGATTCCCCGTTGCTCATCTGTTTTCAAATCCTCCCTCCGAAACACAAAGGAAAGAAGCAGGCATTTGATTTCTTGATTCATTTGATTTCGCTCTCTCTTCTTCACACTCTCGTTACAGGCAGTGAACACGATACCTGAAGGCGGGGTGGTTTTTGTTTGGTTTTGTTGATGCCATCGGACGTCATTGGTGGACAAAAACCCTCAGCGCGCTGGGGAAGTGGTTAGGCTCACCTTGGCACGTATTTCCACCTTATAAATACCCTCCCCTTCAAAAGCGAGAAAGTGTCGGGTGCAGACCATGCACACAAGTGACGACGGCCTTCACAAAATGTTAATGTTTTCTGCCAATGAAATGATTAGCCTGTTGCAGTTGTATTCTATCGATTGTCACTAATTACAACTATCATTTACCAGAAATCAGCTATCACTATGAACAACTTCTAACCAGATTTACTTGGAGGTCGTCGTCAGTTGTGTAACACTTTCTCGCTTTTTGAAGGGGAGGTTACGTCCAATGACTCCTTCGAATTCCTCTGCCTTCCGGTCACTTTGTTCACTGCCTTTCGGCTTTTGAGTTAAACGATCTTTTGAAAACTCAGCCCATTGATGAATCTTCTATGGATCAGAGCTTGGCAACTCCTCGCAATAGATTACATTCTCAAATAGCTTGTTGATTTTATAAATCTTCTAAACCCCAAGGCTTACGTGGTCTGAGTCAATCCCTTTGCTTTTGTGACCAATATGTTTTATTCAGATAATCCTCAGTTCGAGGCGAGCTCATTTTTCCCTGAAGGTATTTTATGTTCTCTAAGATATTTGTGGCGCTGGATTTCAGATCTTTAGCAGCAGTGCTCTCCAGTTCGGCAAACTTTGCCCGAGAAATTGCCAGGTGAAATTATAGGACTTGAACGGCTTCACTTGCCCATTGCATGAGTGATGTTGTCCACCCTTGAAGCGAATCATTCGCGGATTACGGTATTGTCGCGGTGACGGTGGCTTATCGACGGCGATTACGATCACTATCACGAAGTTGGTGTAACTTGTCGTCATCTGTTCGAGCACCAGAGCACATTCGGTGTGCCCTAGTATTCGAAACGTTGATGTGTATGATCGCAACGCTCTAATACTTGTTCATGCTCTGTGATTGTTTCCCACATGCTTGGCTCAAACTATTTTTTACAACATTGATTTGAATTGCTTGATTAAATAGTGTTTTGCCATTCGAACATTCCACATCCTTGCATAGTTTAACACTTTACTTTACTAACTTTTGGTCATATCTTCGGTAAATTCGCACGGATTCAAAACTATTTTTTTTCCTGATTCAGACTGCCGGATCGAAGTGAGCTGAAAGAGAAGAGCCGAGAGGCGACACTTGTGTTGGTGATTATCGTCTGCATATTCCTTATCTGTAATTTTTGGGGCTTTGTGCTGACTCTTCTTGAACGAATCCTCGATCACGAAACTTTGGTAAGCTCTTGCTGATATGATATCTGATTTCGCAACAGGTGTATGAATCTTTTGAGCTCAAGTTCTTCTCCTCGGCTCTTCAAAGCAACAACCCAAATGAGGGGGTGTCCCCCAAGAGGCCCATCGCGCGGCGAAGGAAGAGACGCAGACGCGGCAAAGGACGAGTCGCAGCGCATACTGTAGCGGTTAGGCGTCAGGTTAAATAGAGTGTACCATACTACGTCTCATATCGCACAGCACGCGCTGCGACTCGTCCTTTGCCGCATCTGCGTCTCTTCCTTCGCCGCGCGACGGGCCTCTTGGGGGACACCCAGATGAGGTAGTGTCGAAGAACCCATATGTGGGTGGGATATAACGGCGCTGGGGCTTTTGAAGTGATCTGATGGCGACTATGAACGAGATACTTCGCGCACACCACGTGCTCGCACACAATGTATGCAAGTGTAGAAGTCAATTTAATATAAGGCGCGGCATACGAAGTCGTTTGAAGAGATTCAGACAACTCTTCGAGCAACGCTCTCCCGCAGTGATCAAAGGGAGAGCGAGGCTTGGAAATGCTTCTAAGGCGACATTATACGAAGTTATTACGGCTGAAATATTTTTTGGATTTCGGCTTCTGGAAGACCCTAAAGTTAGCTTGGGTTAGATGTGCAGCAAAAGGTGTCAATGGTTTCAAACAAAATTGATTGCGTGCGCATTTCAACAGGGACTGATGCGACAATAAAAACACCTAAAAAGGAGTTCCACAGTTCCGTTTCATCTCATTTTGTTCAGAAGGCGAGACCCAATTTACACGAAGACTAATTAAAAGAGCAGAAAATCTTTCGCAAGATAACCAGTTTTAGAATAGAATGGAACATTCATAGAGAAAACAGTGATCTATTAGTTAATGTCTTCAGATGGTCAAGCATCATGCTTTCTACACATTTTCACGAGAAGCCATCAACTTCCTCGCTATAATCAACTCGTCAATTAATTTTGTCATCTATATAGTATTCGGTAAGGAATTCAGGTGAGTAAAGGCAATTGTACTTCGAATTTTTTTATCATTCACATCAAGCCGCTTGCTTGTTGTTAGTGAAAGGCACAACGGGTGGTCGATCTCCTATGATCTGTAGGATAGACTTCTTGAGAGGATTCACATATGTGGCATTTCCATGTGTGGAAACTGCCCCGAAAAGGGTGCTAGGGCCTAGCAAAAAGTTGCAGCAGCTGCAATTCCCCCTGTCTGCAGCAGGCTGTTGTCTGGTGCCCTCTCATCTGTTGCGCTCTCTCGCCTCATACTCTCCTCTCCGCGCTTAGTCTCTCATTCCCTTAGCACAGCCGCATACAAGGTGAGCAAGCCCTTCAACCTGAGCGTTTATCGACAGGTTCTATTCATTTTCTTTCACTGTTGCTGGTTTCACACCAATCCTTCCATAGTCATGCACGAAAACCACACCACTTTAATTGGGGCATACCTTTAAAGGACGAATTAACGCTGAAAAGCAACCCATTTCAAATTAAGTTAGGGATGGTGAGTGGTACACGAAAGAAGGAAAACGGCCCAGAACCCGAGAAATGGGACCCCTTCCTTGCCCGTTGATTTGCGCATTGATGCGACTCTCATCGCTGTGCCCTCTTCAACACTACGCTCTCTCAGCTATCTAATCACTCGCCACGTATGACCTGCGGCGAGTGATCAGATGGTCGGTGGGCGTGCACCCGCCAACCGCG